ATAATAAATCATAAAAAATCGTAAAGTAAAAACCATTATTGGGATGATAAAACTGATGGATTTTTTTACTGTAACTTAACGTTGGGACCATGGTTGTCCCAAACAACTGTAGAAATCAACCTCGTTCATAAGTGGAAGTCGAAATAATAGCAGAAACTCACTCGGATATCTTTAAATAGTTTTATTCTCATCTGACTCCATTCAGCTCCATGCAGCAGTACACAGCACAGGCCTCAGAGTCAAAAGCCTTGAGCTCCTATCAGGACACCAAAATAAAACAGCCCAGTCTGTTCCAGGCTGAATCTAAGGCCGGCGTCACACTACAAGAAAATTATGCCGATTTTTGCCCTTCCGACAATCTTAAGGAAGTCCAGACTATCGTGATGGCTCTAAAGATATTCATAGCAGAAATTCCCGCTGTGGGTTGTGAGGTAAGAGTGATCTAGTCGGCTCGGAAGGACGTCGGGACCGCTCCGACCTCAAATCGGGGATATTCAACATGTTTGATTTTTTGGCCCGATATCAGTGTGTGTAGTGTTCATGCAAGCTCTCAGCCTGTGAATGAGATGTGTAGCCAATCAGAAAGCGAGGTGATGTAAACACGGAGGGGATTCAAAATACAGAAAAAACTGTCATGACTCACCAGAAAGTCTGCTGGATGTTAAAAGTCCTATAGAATTGTTTTTCCTCTGGTAAAAATAGTCCACAAATGATCAACATCATTTCTTCCTTGTTGCAAATGTTTATTTACTCTGAACTCACATCTCTCTGGAGGTCACGTGAGATTTTTCCTTGGACATCTGAATTCTCACGAGTTTTCGGGAAGTCTCGCGTGATTTAAGATCTGACATCTGAATGTTGATGAATGAAATATCTTTTCATGTGTGTTGTGTTGTCTCTTGCCGTGTGGCTGTATACCACACACTGTAGGACCAAACCTAGTATGTCCATGATTTTCTGTCCTCACGTGTAGGGTCCTTCAGTGTTTGAAAATCAGCTAACTGGTTTAAAATCTTGTAGTGTGACTCAGCCTTCAGCAGAGACTCTCTGCACAACTCAGAACTTCTTCTGTCACAGACTCATATAATGATGAATTGACCTTATAATGTACATCTCTTCCTAAACCCCTGAAGGTGGCAACTTTTATGTCATATGTAGAACGTAACTAACTTTTGTTTATGCTACAAAACGCATGACAAGTCACACTCATACTCTCTCAGTCTCTGTTTTAAATTTTATAAGTGCAATGGTCAGAAACTAGAAACATACAATACTGGATTACTGTACTGTGTACTGCACTGGAATACTTAACATTCAGTTGATCAGTTTCCTTCACAACTTTGAACCAGTGTACTAAGTAAAAATCAGTATTTCCTCTTTCAAAAAGGAAGGAAGGCCAGACTTTTGCACAGAGTTTAGGCATTCAAAATTGTACCAAGTATTTGAGGGTGACATGCATTAGTTACATATATTATTGAATATAAACTAAAACCAGGATTTCAATAGATTTACTTAATATTATTTAAAAAACATCTTGCTGAAACAAAGTGATAATGTCAATATTTTTTCTGTATGTTCATTTTTTTTGCTGCTTTACTATTAGTTTTGCTGATAGCATTAGAAGTGTTGCCCTTTGAATTGGTATCTTTAGAAGTTCTTCAGTTGTATCTGTTTGTTCAAAGCCCAACTAGGGATTGGATCTGCTAATTAACTGTTGGCTAGAAGTCAAGAAAACAAATCAAAAGTCCAGCTGTTTGATTCTTAACATTGTTTAATATGTGGTGGGTGATAAAACAAACTTAATGAAAACTATTCCTCTCATTAGTGTTAAATCCACAATCACTTTAGCTTTTATTTTGTGCCATTCATAACTGGTGAACTGATGTTCTGAACATTAAATGCCAAATCTTAGTTGAAGTCAACATCTCCTACAAATAAAGAGTTGAATCATCAGCGTAGAGACAAACAGAAAAAAAAAGTTTAGAAATAATTTGAAGTTTCTACTGCTTTCAGGATTTATGCTGGACTAGAGTAGATTTAGGTGAATGATAATACATGTTTCAGTTTAGATCTACAATTTAGGGAGAACAAAAAGGGAACTTTATTTGGTTTTACAAGTCCGATAAAAGCCTAGATTTACTTACTTTGAATTCAAGATTCTAAAAGAACAGATACTGTTCTTTTGTTGGCTTGATTGAGAGCCTCGTATGTTGATTCTTTTCACCATCAAAAAGTCCTGAGATGTTGTTTGTTTTCACATCTAATTAGTTGTACATGCAGCGTACTTTTGCTTAAAGTGAACTCCATTACACTTCCTTCGCACCATAGTCTAATGGAGGACCTGGATGCAGGTTTTTAGGTCTGAGGTTAGCAGGTGATGAACAAAGGAGCTTTAATTATGTATTCGGCAAAAACTGAAACAAAAGTGTTGCAGGTGCAGAAAAATCTAAAAACACTGACATCTCATTGCACAGGAAACAAAAGACAACAATGATCAGAGCCAGAGCAGGGAGGGTAACACTGATGAGGATCTGGCAGGGAACAAGGAAAACATTGGACCGTAATGAATAACTAAACCCTGATGGAGCAATCAGTCACTGAAACCTGGTGTAAAAGATGGGAGCTCAACAGAATGCACAAACAGCGAATGGTTTCAAAATCAAAACAGGAAGTGAAACCGATTATAGATGATTTAAATGAGGATTTAAAACCAAAGATGGCAGCCAAAATCCCACAGTATAAAAAAAGGAAAAATACAAAAAGAGCACAGTCTTATTTTGAGATGAATAAAACCACAGAAGAATCAGTAAAGATGTAGAAATCTAATAAAGGTTGTTGAAGCTCATATAGCCATCTTTCACAGCACAGACTGATGATAGTTTGCCGGTGTATGCACACGTGTGCCTAACATCCACTCCTGCTTATTCTCGTTGTTTGCAGAAGAAGTGGATTAATTAGTTTTTGTTTACACGTGCCACCCCCCCACCCCTACCCCCCAAACACATCCAAAATGCATCCCTCCTAATTAGCAGCTAGTGCTAAAAGAATACATATTATTATCATATTAGCTGGTTGGCACCAGTTTTTGTTTGTGTGTGTGAACATGTGTGATTTATTGCATTTACATGTAGGTATAACATCCCACAAATATACTGTACAGGGTTATTGTTTAATGAAGAAGACTAAGAAGAAGTCAAGCATTTAATGTTTGAATGGCAATAAAGTGACGTTCCTCCATCTTTCTTTTTGCCCTCGTAATTCCCCACCGGAGATGTCTTTAGCTTGTATAATAGCACCTGTGTTACGTTTCAGCTTCCTCATTTTGCCTCCTCAAGAGGCACTGAAAAATGAGGAAACGATGAGCGAAGAATGAGAGGGTGTCTGCATGAAGTGTGGTTTACAGAGCAAGAGAAAATAAGGAGACAAAGGGGAGTGTGAGATGTGTGTGTTTGATAGCACCTGTATTCGCTTTTCTGCCTCTTTCGCTCCCAGTGGACGCCTGTCACCGTGGACTCACTGGACTGTTTTATCGCTCTCCCATGGTTCTCCCTCCTCTGCACCAGCTCTCTTTTCTCTCTGTCTCTTTATCTCTCACCGGGTCTTTAAAGATGTGTGTCGGATGTGTACGTGTGTGTGTGCGTGTGCAGTGTTTATATAAGAAAAGGAGGAGCAGAATCCTTAGGCGCACAAGGGAATATGAGCTGAAGACAAAATAGGTATGGTTTCATAGAAAACATTTCAGTGAGTCATCTGTTCTGTGTTTGTTTTGGTGATATTTTTGGATTCAGAACTCCTCTGCTGGATGCAAGCTGGCAGACACTAAACAATACACACCTCCAATTTCACCGTACACAATCAAAAATTAATTTACCAACTCAAAGACTGTTCTTTAAAAAAGGAACAAGAAAAAGTACCTGAATCACATACAGGTTGTCGATTGTGATTGCAATCAGCTAAGAGCTTGATTTTCAGAACATCTGTGATTCTCCTCCTATAAAAAGCAAACAAATCAACGACAAACACCGACAACTCTGAACTCTAAAAACATTTTTTACATACCATTCTTAACTTTCTTGCTTCTGTTTACTATGTCTGCATGGGAATGCCACATTTGCATTGCTGACATTTTAATGTCTTGATTGCCTACAATTTATCAACATGATAAATGAAAAGCTACTGCTCTCTCATTGTCGCATCCCGCTGGCTTCTGCCTGCAGTAGAAAGGGTGTAGCAGCACCGCTTGACGTATAAATAAACATTTGCATTCATTTCCACAAGCGCATGATTGACTGAAAGTGATTTAAAATCTTAGCGTTAGCTTCAGCTACAGTGTGTAACCTCTGGGTCTTTATTGCTCCCCCAGGCGATGGTGGAGACGGTAAACAACTTGTTGCATCCAAGAGCTCGGGCAGCGTGGAAGGAGCTGCCCACCAGCGAGCAGCTGCACTCAGCCACTCTGCTGCTCGACACTGTAGAAACCGGAGCTTTTATGTTGGCTGACAACCTCCTGAAGACCGACACCGTGCAGGAAACCACTGACTACATCCGTAAGTACATTTTATGGTTTGCTTCCAAGCAACTGTCACAGCTGGACTCTGCAACTGTCGAAAAAAATAAATAAAAGACAGATATGCACTCAGAGGTCTCAGGCATCGCACCAAAAAAATAACCAAAAATATTGAGACATCTGTCAGCTTTTTGTATCTGCTTTATCCATTGGGGTCATGCGGGGGTGGGGGTGGGGTGGCTCCAGGCTCCCAGGTGAGAGGGACGGGTCATGTTGAAAAGGTCACCAGATCATCCCAGATCTAAGAAAGAAGAAAATCACAAACACAGACCTGCAGCTTATTCAGGGTCACTGTTTAAGCAGACAGACATTAAAATTAGAACCACTTGGTGAAATTTTGAACAGACCCAGTAAGAAAGTTTGTGTTTACTAAGGCCGTATAGTTGTTTTGGACATTTTAAATCTAATTAACTCCAAACGTTGTGCAGCTGTATTTGTCCATCCAGTGATTACTTTCTGACCCATGTGGCATTAAAAGTTGAATCTGAATTATTTGAACAAATTCAGTAAATCTGAAGTTGCAACTTCATTTTATGTGGCACTAAAAGGTGGCGTGGGGAGTTCATTAAAAACACTGCAGGAGCAACTTTAACTTGGTTTTAAAATGGAGATCAAATGCTTCTATGATTACAATAACATGGAAAAATCTAGGATCATTATGTGTGTATTTTAAAACACAGTTTGACAATATGACTGCCCCATGGTTTTTTGTAGCTAATGTTCACATTAGACTTTGTGCATGCCCCTCTGTGACCTGGAAATGAAACAGCGGATAAAGAAAAAGGATGGATGGATAAACAGAATGGGTTAATTGCATAACAGAGTGCAAAAATCTTACCCTGGATATTGATTTTGTATTCTTAAGCTGCACAAGTGTAAAAGCATGTAGTGTGCAAGAGCCATGACTGCAGCGTTTTGTGTTTGAATGCTTTATAGTTTTTACATTATTTATGACACAACATGTAAAATAAGATACATTTAAACTCCGAAATTCACACTGTTCACTGCTAGTTTATTACCACAACCCTATTGTTAAAATACAATATTAATAGTATTGTAAATGATAAATATATTGGACATCTCTACAGATCCTACTTCTCATCACCTTTTTCTGAATTACTTCTCTCTTTTTTATTTCTGCTAAAAAAGCTCAGTCCTCCATTACTTGTCAGTTGACTGGTCAAAAATAACAAATAGCAAAACATCTACCTATTAAGATTATCGTTTTCTATGAATGCACTGTAAATGCATGTAGTTATTATGCAGAGGGGCTTTAACATGATGTTGTTAAGTGACAGAAAAAAAAAACCTGAACTGAAAACAACAGGCAGATTTGCAGAGACATGAATAGCATCCCTTTTTATCTGGAATGTGTAGCTTTGATATTCTGCTGATGGTTTGCATCCAATAAAAGCTGCACAACAAACTGAAACGGAGGGTAAAAGTCAGAGAGGCCTGCATTGACCTCCTCAAAGATTTGAATGCTTTGCTTTATTATGCAGAGTAAACATGCAAAGCTGTCAGATGGAAGGTCACAATGAAAACGTGTTAAGGGATGAATCCTCTGAGATATTTTTTTCTCACAAAATGCAGGAAATATATTAGCCTTGAGGCTGGCATGAGTCGTTTTCCTGAGCCAATAATTCATATTAATTTATTTATCTTTCCATATTTTCTGCCCTCTGCTTGTAGGCAGAGCCGACAAAGCACAACAATCACTTTCACCTCCCTCTCCTCTTCTCTCTCGTTGGCGCCTTTTCCTATAATCTCTTTTCTCACTGATCATGTCATCGCCACGCTGTGGCACAACAGAGTTTTACTGAAGAGCAAAACGAAACCTCTTTGCTTTTCATGCCTTTAGGTGATGATATATCTGTGAGCCTTCATTTCATCTGTGCTCACAACCAGCCAGTTGCATCCACTTAGGTTTTCCTCTATTTATAGTCCTATTTACTTCCAATCTGATTTGATATTTTAAAATTTCCTCCACATCATTCCCCCATTACTAGAGTTCAATGTGCTTGTGTGCTACTCAGTCACAGATGAAAAGGCACGAAGGAGGAGCTGGAGAAGAGAGAAAAAAATGAAGATGATAAGGAAAAAAGAAGACTGGATGAGTGCTTGCTCGAGGGTGATGGTGGCAGTTGAATGTCAAATGATGCTCTGAGGGTTTTTTTGACTCACTTTTACATCAATAAGCAATGAAATTACAGCTGCTTAAGTCACACAGCGTGGTGATTACATTACTGCAGTTTTTCCTATCAAAGACAGACGGCACTGACAGATAAGGTTCTGCAAAGTCTGCCCTTCTAATGTGACTTTGTCTTTTTCTTGATTAACTTTAAAGAGGCAGTTCAGGACTTTCGAAGTGAGCTTCTGTGGAACGAAGATTTCAATTCCGACCGGGTTGAAAAGTTAACAGCTAATTTGAGAAGGGCCAAAAGCAAAGTGGAATGTTGCTGTCCTAAAACAACTCCAGTCTTGAATTTTTCATAGCAGTTCAAGAAAATACAGTTTTATAGAATCTCTGTAGCACAATCAGTCTGCATTATACAGTTATTCTAGTAAAAATGTGTGGTATTCTCACAGGAAGTAGTGCTTCTACAACTGTCATCTGCACACATACTAACTGCAATGTAATGGTTTCTAAGATATAATTTACAATAACTGCTATAAGATTTTTGAGATAACTGTTTTAAGATAGCAGTAGTCTGCTTTGGACTTTGTCTCGTTTTGACTTACTCACTTGAATCAGCTCATCAGTCAAAACTGAACACTACTCCTTCAAACTGAGGCTATTCAAACATCTGTCAAAGACAGGTAAGATATTACTTGTTAATAACTATTCAGTATAATCAAATTTTAGAGGCTCAAATCCATTACTGTGAGAAAATACTGTGGTGATTTTTGAAGAGATGCTTTGCCAAACAGTTATAAATAGTGGGTCATTTATCAGCCATGTCCATCATAGAGCATGAAGTATGGAGCAAAGAGCAGAAGTCTTTGACTGATGTCATGACTGATGCATTCCTGTTGATAACTATTTGACAGAGCGTCGCTTCAAAAATCACCAGACTATTACTTGAAGTAAGACAGTAGTTCCGTCGATGCCTGACATCCTACACAGTTTCAACTTACATAATTCCATCCCTGCATCTCCTCCAATTTTTTTTCTCTCCCCTGAATGCACCACATAAATAATGTTACATAAACACTCATCAAGATGTAGGCTACTGCATCTCAGAGGAACTTTAAACAGAATTTTGCTTTTTCTTTAGTGGAAAGATTCCCTCTCCTTTTTTGTGTCGTTAATCTTCCCTCGCAGCTAATCCAGTGGGAAGATCCAGTGTGATTATCTCTCGCCTGTACTCAGAATCAGCCCCGAACAGCCTGTCATCTCTGCATCTCCTCTGCTTCCCTCACTTCCATCTTCCCCCTGCTCCCATTTCTCCACCATCATCCTCACACGTTTTTTTTCTTTCAAAACGCACCCCGCTCCCCCTTTCTCTAACGAGCCTTTCAGATGTGAGTGAGTGACACGAATAAATTATCTGACGCAATTCTGAGATGCCACTGCAGCTACTGTAAGTGATATTATTGTGTGAGATTGTTGTGTGAGAGTGACTATGAGGCGCAGGATAAGGCGGGTGAATAAATAGTGTTGTTATTATTAGAAGCAAAACAGTGATTTGAAAAGGGATAACACAGCGGTAGCGGCGTGCGCGTGTGATAACGATAATGAACAAGTGTGTTTCGTCGGAGGAGGATTGTCATGACAAGGATGTTTTAATTAGATTAGACTCAGCGTGTTTCGATACCCCGCCGATCTGGATGGGCGTGGGTGGGTGTGCACATGTGTGGGTTTGTGTGTGTGTACCTACTTTACTTTGGCTAATGCGCAACTTAACCAGCATCTCATTTTGTTTTGTTTTGTTTTGTTTGTTTTCTGCTTATCTGCTCATTCTCAATTCCCCAGCACTTCCTCCTTTCTTTTATTCTTCTCTTTTTTTTATTTCTATTTATTTTTTTTTACCTCTCACCAGTTTTTAGCTCCTCATCTGCTCTCATTTATAATCCGAGCTGTCGTCGTGTTGTTTACTTGATCAGGGGGCTGTTTTCACCAAGAAACGCAGCAGACTAAATCACCAAATCACTCAGAAGCACAGGATAGCAATGCACCAAAGGTATAATTAGTCCTTAATTAGAAACTTTATCTAACACTTCACTCAGTTGTAATCAGGAATGTGCTAACGAACCCGAATTGTGAAATTAGATTCTGACAATACAAGAGGAGGCTGGATGATCTACCTTGATGTGTCAGAGCAGTTGCTTGGAGACACTGTTACAGCTTTTTTTTTTGTATTTATTTATTTTCTCATATAAAATGTCTCTTTATTTCACTTGAAAGTGTGTCAGATCTGTTTTATTTTTTTTAATCTACTACTTTAGAAGCTTGAAACTGCTTGAGGAGTCATGCCTGTGATCTGCTTTGAAGCACTTAGTGGGAAAACATGGTTGATACAAGAGTGTGCAAAGCAAAACTGATGTAATGTGTTGTGCTGTGATTTGACACGAAGTTGTGTATGTGCGCGTGTGTGTGTGTATGTGTTGCAGAACTGGAAGTAGCCAGGTTGAGTACGGATGGGAACCTTGCAGATCTGACGTTCCCTCAGTCAGAACAACATGGAAACTCCATCCAGCTATCAGCCAGCACTCTCAAGCAGCACGGCAAAAACGGTACATGACAGATCCCACATTTACTCGTCTCATCGCGCTCACTGTGGGGTCTGTGACCCCTCCGAGTTTCTTTTTACTGTGCTTAACTAGTTTGTAGGGTCTTCTTTCCCTTCTCTGCCCTTTGTTTTTGTTGTTTGATGCCAACAATAGCGATCATCATATCACCGTGTTTTCCTGCAGGTGAGATCCGGATGGCGTTTGTGCTATACAGGAACTTGGATTTGTACTTGCCAACAGAGAACGCCAGTGTCAGACTGAGCAGCGAGGCAGTGTACCCGAATTACTCCGTTATTGTCAACTCTCCGGTCATCACGGCGTCAATTAACAAGGAGAGCAATAAGGTTTATCTGTCGGAGCCTGTGGTCTTCACAGTCAAACACCTGCAGGTAAGGAACAGGCTCTGTCGTGTCTGCTCTTGACATTTTGCTTTTATTAGCAAATTAGAAAAACTTTGGCAGAGCCTATACTGTCAGGGATGTACATTCCTCATTTCATGCTGCATTTTTTGGTTGTCACATATGTCACTTTTTACTGTGTGAGTCTACAGTAGTTTGTGTAGGAAATATGCCCAATTAAAAAGATCCCTTTCTTCCCATTTTAACAAGAAGATTCCGAGCTCGGATACAGTGAGGGTCAATGGGAGTTTGACTATGCATGTGGCACTATGGGGGGATTAGAGAAAAACTGAGATACACTCTGGGTAAAAAAGAGACATTTTGAAATCCAGACTGTATAACAACAAACTTTTTGCTAAAGTAAGAAATGTTTGAGGAAGTTTTGGAAATTTAAACATCTCAAAACGTAGTGGACATCATCTTTAAAAATCCTGAAACTTAAACTGCAGTTGTGTAAAAACTGGTAAAATGTTAACAGTGTTGTGTAAAGTAACTCAAGGTGATACTTGAGTAAAAGTAAAAGTATCTTCCCATAAAATTATTTTGGGTAAAAGTTAAAAGTCTCCTCTTAGAATATTGCTTGAGTAAACGTCTTAAAGTACTGTATCTTACATTTACTGTACTTAAGTATCAAAAGTAAAATTCCTATATAAAATGTATGAAGTAAAAAAGTTAAAGTATTGAGTGGTTTAAATTTCCAAAATTACATTTTTGTGAGGTGACCTACCCCAAAAGCATTTTTCTTAAGGCCATAATGACTATAATTTTATAATAAAATATTAATGATGAATAATATGGGATATACTAGGATACCTATTTCAGTGACAAATGTACTGTATGTCTGCCATGCTCATCATCATACTCGGCTACATATGTCCGCTGTGTCTTAGAGTGATGTGATTTGTGCCATGTGCAGGTGTCATGGATCATACAAACCAATAGGATGTCAGAATGGTATATATTTATACTACTCATCCAACCAMAGTTAAATTCACTCTATCTGGGAGGTGCCAATATACAGTATATATATATATATATATATATATATATATATATATAGTTTTGTTTTGTCTTTTTACAATAATGAGCCACCAGAAAGAAAACAAGCCTTAATGAAACAAGAGTAACGACTTTCTTCCATCTTTTTAAGGTACGAGGTAGAAAGTACAGATAATTGTGTGAAAATGTAAGGAGTAGCAGTAAAAAGTGGGCTGAAAAATAATTCCTCAAGTAAAGTACAGATAACCAAAATGTACATTAAGTACACTAAGAATGCATTTTTACTTTTTTTATTTTACGACTCTAAATGTCAAAATGCCATTCTGGTCACATTGTGTCACACTTGCAATTTATATGATCATAAACTTTGAATGATATTTCTGCTTTGACGTAGGTTGTCCATTGTATAGATATTCAATTTTTTAGTATTATCATTTTTTTGTATAGGTTGTTTTAAAGCTATAGGAAAAAAAATTAAAGAAAAACAACCAATTTGTGATAAAGCTACTTTAACATTTTAGTATTGATTAACTTAACAAAAGGTATTGGTTATAGTACATGGTGCAGAATTAACATTAAAGAGTTTTGTGCACACAAACTAAAAGTGAAAGAGTTGTGCACACTAAAATTCTAATGAAACAAGTTGTTTGTCTTTTTAAAAATTGCCTTTGAAAATCAAAACCTAAATGAGAATGTCTGCAAGCATTTCCCTATTATACTGTATCTGCAAACTTAAATCTGAGCGATCAATGCAAAGCAACTCATGAATATAGACACAGAGAAACAAAGCTACTGATTAGAGAAACTATAACAGTGAATCAATGCCACAGCAGAGAGGAAAACAAAGAAAATAACTTTTTTTTCTTTTTCTGACGTGGAGAATTGAGGCTGACAGGAAACTCTGGTGCTCCCTGGATGCTCGCTCCATCTCACTTCTTCAATTAACGAAGTCCTCCTGCAGTGCCGGTGCATCCTTCATTCAGCAGCACACCCGAGTCTCGCTGTAGTATTTATAGCCTGTATTTACAGTCAACAGTCTGATTACTTCACACTTTGCAAAAATGATCATAACAGCCAGTGGTGTCCCCCTACACCCATTCAAATATAGAAATACATTAGCTGAACGCAATGGGAAGAACAAACTTTGAATGCATTGTTTTTAAAGACTTGTTAGTTGAAGTGTAACATTAATCCAAGTGGTCTTATTTTCCTTCCAGAAATCACACAGTCTTTATGTTTACCTGCCATAAATCTTCCAGGCAAAGTGATGAGAAGAGTCAGAGGTGCCTCTAGTAGTTTTCTATAGCTTTATTACATTGACTGCAGTGTCATAGTTGAGGTGTATCAAGTCCTAATTTTTGGTGAAAAGCAGATTTGAGTTCTGCCACCTGCCATGTCCCAGCATCATCTGACTTCTGTAACAGCCGTGGGGCTCCACAATGACCCCAAAGGTCAGCAGCTGCGACCTCAGCTTCCCTCTGACATGATCAGTGAGAAATACTAAGCAGAGTTACTTCTGTGATTTGAGTTGAGCTCTTGTCTTCTACAACTGAAAGATATTTTTTTATCATTATTATTATTATTTTTGTCACTGGTACAGACACATGTACAGCTGCTGATTTGATGATTATGATGAGAACAGTGTAGAGGCATGAAACAAGAAGACGTCAGAAGCTCTTAGGTTTCATTTCTGCAATAAAACCTCAACCCACTACCTGCATCATCTGTTTCCTTCATCCCCAAAAGTTTTCTTGCAAGTGTGCACACATTCTATCGTTGGATTTTTGTTTTTGAAATTGCATCGGAGGAATCATTCGGCCCATAATCAATCTGTATGCGACAGTATTGAATGAGGCCGTGCAGTTTAAATGAGCTGTACACACACGGCTTTGAAATCTGTACTTCAGTCAGGCTCAGGAGACAAATTTAGTGCTGAATTTTGCAGCTTGACTTTCCTATAAATTTGGTTTGACACAGGACATAAAACAGAAATGATTTTAGTTTTATTTCAAATTTGTGTCAACTTGATCATTCATTGTTTTTCCTCCGATTTGAACATTCTTGATCACAACCATAAAAGCAAGAAATTATTATTATTATCTGTCTTCTGTGGTCTGTCAGGCTGTAATTCATTTTGAATTGGGCAATGGTGGAGAAGTTATAGTCAGTATCGTACCTGCAGTAGACAGTAGTCAGAAGTGGATTCACTGGTGTAGATGACACATTACGAATCCAAAGAAAGTGGATTTGATCAGGTACATCACATTTTGAAACAGCTTGGCCAGCTTAATCCAGATGAAATGGAAAAACACTTATTCTTGCAAGTGTTAATGACTTCGGCAAACAATATTATTATTAGATGGTTAATTACGTAGAAGAACATAGTTATTTTAACTGTTTGATATCACACAAACACACACACACACGCACGCACGCACGCACGCACGCACACACACATTACTATTTTTATTATTGCTTGCTGTAATAATTTAATATGCAACTTTATTATTTTTTACACTTGTCCACCTAAAAGTTACTGGCAAAGTATTCTTAACATGTTTTGTTTTGCAGCTGTTTTTTTACATGCATATTTATTGGTAAATGTTTGCAGAAAAACTTTATTGCATTAAAAATAACCATGTAAAATGAAATAGGTGGTTGTGTAAAACTTAAATATTAAAGTACATATACTATCGTGAGCAACAATAAGTTCTTTAGACTGGAGTTGTTTTAGGAGAGTAGCAACCCACTTTGGTCTTAGCCTAGCTGTTAGCTCATTATTCTCTCCGGTTTCTCCAAACTAAAGTTGTTCAAAGAGCTATCTACAACAGGTAAGATATTAACTGTTGTTAAGTTCTCCACAAAACCACACTTAAAAATAAATCAAGCTGTTTCTTTAGAAATGAGAAAGTCTTCTATGTTGCAATTTTTCTTCTGAAGGTTTGCCTCTCCCTGGCAAACATATGAAGAGTTTAAACATTTTGCGAAAGCAGACTGGATTCCATATTGCCCATTATTGTATTAATACGATGGTCAGCACTGCAACTTCATTGTGTTTTCTCGTTCAACAAGCAAATGCATATCCAGTTGGTGGCCAAGCTTGTTTGGCAGTGGAAGAATCCTCACTTGCTCATTTCGAGAGGACTTTATAAACCTAACAAACACATCCTTAGTTTACACAACACAAGTTGCTCCTGCGCCGCCGAACGCACACAACAAGAATGAACGCAGCGCTGTCACCTCCTGCCATGGCTCCATGTTTATTTGTTTTCTCACTTTTGCATTCTGTCCCTTCTGTTTGTTGTTATGTTGCTGTGTGTGCTGGACTCCTTCTCTCTAATACTTCCTCTTCATCCTTTCTCTCCCACCAGTTTCTCACATCTTGTTTTTTTTTTTTTTTTTT